AACCTGAGGATCACAGAAAGTCACGAGTAAACAACACCTGCTGGAGCAATAGGAAGATGGATTCGAAAATGTGTTTTATGCTTTCATTTCCACAGTCAAATAATAATATATTTTTTAAAAATAAATCTATAATTACAGGATTTTCTCCAAACTTTGTGACAGCAAAAACATAACAAATGTTACAATTTTGGTCCCCAATCGAACCGAGTCGACTGGACCATCAGATTGACTCAGAATTTAGTCAATGTAATCCTAAAGCAAAACGCAAAAGCAAGGCAAAAAGACGTCTTCATACCTTGGTGACATGTTTTTTTTTTATTACCCACTTTCACCAATTAACTAAGACAACTTTAGCTGGATTTTTTTTTTTGGGGTGGGGGGGAGTGTTAGAAGCCAAAAATCTAAAACAATTAAAACTAGATACTTTCATACACTCTGTAAAAAAAGACACAACTTTTTGTCATTATCTGACTTTAAATGAGACAGATTATTTTATAGGGAGGCTAAAATTGCTTAACTGACCCAAAGTCACCTGAGTCAAATTGTAATCTTAAACAGTGAGTGTTTTTAAAACAATATACCTCTCATCACCGATTTCATTCATCCATTTTACAATGTAAAGGTTGAGATTTTCACTAGTGAATATGACCCAGATTTGGTGATGACTGTATTACTCTGTATTTATTTTTAGACCCCCTAGTAAGAAGAAAGAGGAAAAGCTCCATCTGTGGACACAAATCAATAGACTGACCTCCGGTGCTTTTCCACACTTTATTATTATTATTATCTGTTGAAGTGCCCCAGATTTCCCATTCCTCCTCGTACGGATGTCAAAATAGGTTATCTAAGGTCTCTGAAGGCTCCGTTTTTTTGGAGGAAACGAGAGCCAGGAAACGATTCTTGAAGGTAAAATGTGTGTGCGTGCGTGCGTGTGTGTATGCATGTGTGTGTGTGCGTGCGCACGAGAGTGTTTGTGGCTCTTGATGGAATGAGCATCTGGACTGAAAGGCAATCCTCTCACATGCCGTGTGCGTGTCAGCAGGAGGTCAGCGCCATCCAGTAGGCAGCAGCTGCCGCTTTTCCTCTCCGCTCCAACGTATCTCACCAAGAACAACCTGCAGAACCAGAAACGGGCGGGACCCAGACTGGATATCCATTGATCAGTCTGGAAGGTTAAAGTAGAGTGCAGGGTGGGCTGTGGGATTTACGGGAACGGTGGCCTGCGAAGGAGGGGGGGGGGGGGGGTGTCTTCAAATTGCTGTTTTCTCCCTTGTGTCCTTTACTGTTGCTCCTCTTCTTCTGCTTCATCTTTTTACAGACAAATGCAGACGTGCCACATCAGTTTAGCTGTAAATGAGCTCAACAAATCGGAGAATACAAGAATATATATGTTATCCCGTTTATGTATCATTTTAATTGATTTTACACAAGTCATTGATCTGATGACAGCATGTAAAACATTTTAACCCAAGCCCGGCTGCTTTGTTTTAGCGTCAGGATAAAACTGCCTGTGTCCTTAAAGGGAGCACGGTTCAGTCACACGCACAAACCAACGTCCCACAGGAGAGAGAATCTTGAATGTGAGTTCATAAACTGAATATTTACAAGGCAATTTGTTCTGTGAGAAGAAGAAGGAAGTCAGGAGAAATGGGAGACCTAACAGCACGGCACCTGATACAAAATCAGTCCTGGTTTTGACTGTGTTTACAGATGGACAAACGTTATTTATTTCAAGGGCTCCATCTGTCAGGCCGCTCTCCAGACTGTTGGAAAGGAGGTCAAAAATGTCAAAATGTTGTTATATGATATGTGGTTTTGGCTCAGACTCTGACAAAAAGCAAGTCACTGCTGCTGGCAGCTAATGAGTAAACACACATGCTGGTGAGAGTGGTTATTGTTTTCAGTCAAAATTATCTGGATGTTTTTACACTAACAGAGGACACAAAAAGTAAAAAAACCTCAGTTTAAAAAAAACAATTCTGATATGAGACACTTTATGCTTACAAACAATGCCAATAGCTGGCCTGAAAGTCTTTATGTGTTTTAAAAATTAAGTTTTGTGCTCATTCATTAGCCTCCAAGGTCAATTCCTCTGAAGAAAAGATTTCACAATACTTGGGGTTGTGTTTCTAGCGGAGAGACAAAGCAAGAATGCTCATTTATGTATTTTTCTATGTTGGCAAAAAAGTTCCCAGTCACTTATTTAGCTGGCTAAAAAAGATATTCTGCTGCTGTTAGCCTTCATAGTAATGGTGCTTCTGTGTTAGAAGAGTCGGCGCCTTCAGCGCTTGTGCACTTCCCTTTTTGTGCCGTTCCACTCAGAGCGTAATAACAGTAATATTGCTTTTGAATATAAATGTGTAACTTAATTGATACCTCAGGAGCGATAACGCCTCAGCGGCTCTGAGGGCCGTTTCGCATCCCATCTATATGCTGCATACATGAGACTCAATAAACCTGAACAGGCGAACCCAGCATGAACCGGCTTGTGATGCTAATAAGTCTCACTGAGCCAACAGGGAACCACAGTAAACTCCTCATCACGACGCCTTCGTATTAGAGTTTGCTTTTATTTTTAAGAAATCACGTTCACGTTTACTCATCAGTTAAACGCCGTCTATGAGAAGATAGCATTTAATTGCGTTATTGGATGTGTGTGAAAGGAATGAACCTCCCTCCCCCCACACCTCTCCCCTTTGTGCCTTAAACCTAATCACTTTCTTTATCTGAGGAGACGCATCGTCTCAGCGCGTCTGAAGCAAGCAGTCGCTCACACTTACTCACTTTTCATGATTAATTCAAAAGAAAGGGAGCCGATAAGGCATTTCAAAGTGCAAACGAGAGAAGATGAAAAGCTGCGAGAGGAGAAACTGTCTCTCTTTTTCCACCAGTTTGTTTGTTCGGGGACTTTGTCTCATCTCTCTTGGGGGGTGGGGTGGGGGATCTTGGTCAAGATCCCTTTTGTGTTTTTCTTCAGTTTTTGTCTTTCTGATGAGGGCCAAGCTCAAACTTGAAAAGCAGAGAGCCAACAGGTTTGGATGGGGGGGTGGCTGGGTGGAGGCCGGGTGCGAGTTTCGGGGCGGCGGACGAGGCTTCAGGAGGAGTAAGGGGGGGAAAGGAAGGCTTCCTGGTCCCACTCATCGTCCTGGAGAAAGACACCAGGGAGTTGGTTTCATGTGGCAAAGAAAAACAGACATCAGTGTGTGTGTGTGTGTGTGTGTGTGTGTGCGTGCAGCTGTTTAGAAGCACACTCTCTCTCTCTCCTTCTTAAACACACACAGAGGAGGATGAGTGTTGCTTCCATATTGGCTCTCTCTCAGAGGGGGGGAGCTTTACATTATAAGCTTGATATTGATTGCAGGCACCAAGAGAGGGTCGGCTGACACCAGATCCTGCAGCCATATGTCTGCATGGATGTGACCACCAAGCACACAACAAACACTCCTTTTTCGGCCTCGTTCCTAGTGGTCTTGCTGTAGGATTTACTGCGGCTGCCACGTGTTTCAGGAAAATCATTTCTCGTTAAACGGGTCATCGTCTTGAGAAAGCAACCTGGTTATAATTTTGCTAAAATGTCTCTTTTTTTGTGTGTGACTCCGGAACTCTTTCACCCTGTGTGCATAATTTGTTCTGTTTTTTAAAAACTATTTTGGTAAAATTAAAATTTGGGGTCGCACCGATTGATCGGCCAACCGACCGATGCCGGTTTTCTTAATTCTGGGTGATCGGCCCAATACTTGCACATAAAAAAGATTTTATCCACTTTCCCAAGGGCGCTGAAAATCAGCTACTGTCTCCTTTCGCTGTGTTTTGAGAGAGCGCTGACTGACAGACCAGGTCCCGTCTAAACTTTTTCAGTTGTTTTTGAGAGCAGCTACACTTGTATTGTTTCACGAGTATTGTTCAACGTTTTTAAAGAAACTAAGATGGGGACATTGAAAGTTTATTGTGACTTTGTAAAACCCGATTAAAAAAATTGCCGGAATCGGCAGGAAAGGCTTTTTAAAACCACAATGAAAACTACAATCGGTGCACCCCTAATTTAAAAATGTCCAAATTGTACCCCCAAAATGACACAAATACAACCTGATCAGATGCAAAAAAAATATGTAAATAAATGATGACTTCATTTGATAAGATGAAGTCATCATCTTATCATCTTATCAGATGATAAGATGATGACTTCATATCTGTCAGTCTGTGAAGACCGACATCTGTGAAGAAGAGATCGCCCACTGAGTCTAGTGAAGTTTCTGATCACTTTGAATTGATCTTTTTCATCACTGAGGATACGTTTTGGCCCACTCATTGCAGAATTGTTCAAATTCAGCCACACTGAAATCTTATCGAGCATGTATGCCCTCAGGGCCCCACGGTATTTAAACTGGTTTTAAGACCAGATGTAATTAGGTCACTCCACTCGGTGAACAATGACACGTTTAATCTAAAAGCCTCATCGTTTTCCAAATGACTCTTCATGGCAACAGTCATGCAGACTCCTTCATGTTCATGACAGGTGTTATGTCATGTTTATGACAGTTTAACGTCAGACTTATGCACACAAATGAAGCGTTGCCTTTTTTCTCTTTAAGGATGAAATCAACATTAGGAAACTGCTTTTGTCTTGACTTAAGCTACCTTTATGTGCCATATTTCTTGACCAAAAGAGGATGATACCAGATCTATTTTACCTGATGAAACCCTGTGCGTATAAACTTGCTCAAAACCCTTTTCAGCGTTTATGTAGATTGAATCTATGGGTGTTTATAGTTTACTGAAGCAGCAGGGTGACCTCCCTCACTGAAACTGTGACCTCAACAACAACAAAAAGATTGCAAAAGCTCGTTGCTTATGAAAGGAGCATCATGTAAGCCTGTGTTTTGGGTGAGCTGCGCCTTTAAACAGCAGGCGTGGCTCCGCTTACTACGGCCCCGCCTCCCGCGTATAACAGCCAACTCTCCGCCTTCGCTCTGGACCATATTGGGACAGCGGTCCTGCGAGGTGACTGACCGCAGCCGGGCCACTTGAGCGGTGGGAGCGCGAACCGAGCGGACCGTCCGACGCCTCGCCGAGGCGGTTCCGAATCCTCCAGGAAGCAGCGGGGAGAGCTGGAGTCCGACGGACCGGAGCGAAGGAGGGGAAGGACGGCTGTCGTCGCTGCGGGCTTTCGGACTCTTTGCTTTTTACGCGCCGGACCTATGAAGACGCGGACAGCTCAAACTCTCACAACCGCAGGTAAACAAACTCTTTCACTCAGCCGGTTCAGGTCCGCACGTGCGCTTCTCGCGCAACCGACACCAGCGCACGGGACGGTCTCTGTGGCGGCGATTTAAAGTTTGAGGCTCGCGCAGCTTCCTCCGCGCCGCCTGATTAAGTGATGGGTGCTCTTCTCAGGCGCAGCTGTGCATTCTTGGGGCTTGATAAGCGATATCGCCGAGGAGGAGCCAGATAAACTGGTTTACATACGAGCGCCCGCTCTCTCCAGGTTTCCTCCAGCGGGCAGCGGAGACTCCCACCTTTACTCCAGCCGCTTAATCTATTCCAATCTAACCTAATCATTCTGTGCTGAACCGACTGACCCCCCTCTCTCTCTCTCCCTCTCTCTCTCTCCTTGTTGCCGCTCTGTGACAACTGGTGGAGCTCTTGTTATGTAATGGAGGCTCTGTTGCGAAACTTGTAGTTGTAGGTCTGATAACTTTCAATCACATTTTCACCCCAGTGATGCCCCAGAAGGAGGTTGAACAAAAGCAATCCTAAATTTAGTCAGTATTTATTTTTTAAACTCAAACTGATTTTGTTTTTAATGGGGATATGAATATAAAACTATTTATTCATTCTGGGGTGGTGAAAAATGAAGACTAAAATAATTTTTTTCAAAAACGGGTATTTATTTATTTATTTTTTTTTTCAATATTATTTTTCTATAATTGTAAAAGCAAACGTGTCTCTGATTCAGCCTGTGTTTCTCCACAGACGGAAGCACCACGGAGTGATCCACGCCCCCCTGCAGCCCCCCTCGCCTCACCGCGCCTGTCTGCCTCTCATGCCGGGCATCAGCTCCGCCGCGCCTCGTTATGACAACTGGGAGATGGACCACTACCAGCACTACTTTTACGACGACCGGGATCCGGACGAGGACTTCTTCATGTCCACGGCGCCCAGCGAGGACATATGGAAGAAATTCGAGCTGCCCGAGGAAGGGTCGGGCAAGGTCGGGCTGCTCTGTCCCTCTCTCGGGGACAAGCTGGAGTGGGTTTCTCAGTTCTTGGGGCAGGAGGACGAGCACAACCAGCAGCACGCGCAGGAGCTGCCCTACAAGCTCGCGGGCAGCGGCGACTCCTCCATCATCATCCAGGACTGCATGTGGAGCTGCTTCTCTGCCGGACAGCAGCTGGAGAGAGTGTTAGGGGAGCGTCCTCGGCTCGGCGCCGGAGGCAGCGTTTTGTCGCCGTGGAAAACCCAGAGTGCCCTCGCCGACACGTGGCTCGCTGGTGGCCTGGCTGCGGACTGCGTGGACCCGGCTGCCGTGCTCACCTTCCCGCTTCCCGGAGGCTGCAAGAGACCGATTTCGTCCGGCTCAGAGTCGCACACGGACTCCTCAGGTCAGTGGCCGGTTCACTGTGGAACCGATAAAAGTAGGCGTTTCATGTTTCCCCAGAGTGTTTTTAGAGATTTGGCTTAAGACGTGAGAGTTTGTGTGTCAGCAGTAGTTGCTCCTCCTGACTGCATTGCACCTTGGTGCATGCAACACATGCTTGCAGCCAAGAGTGACACACCCATTGAAACATCTGCTGCCTGGCGGGAGTCCAGCAGACCAGCTGCTCCCTCTTCCCGCTGCTCCTCCACTCTGACTTATGGCAGTAATGTCTTCCCAACTTCTGTTTGGCTGCGTTTCCCCCTGACTTGTTACAGCAAGAGCCTTTTAATTTAACTTTATGCTACTAAAAAGGGGGAAAGAGAAAACCATTTGTTTGACGTTCTAGGAGTAAGATAACTTTGACAATACGACAGTGTTTAAATTTAAAACAAAACCTGTGACATGAACTCCTCAAACGATGTAATGCATTGATGATTGTTACCGTCACAGAAGCGCTCTTTGTTTTGATAAAAAATGGAATTTTAAAAGAATTATTCATTTGTAGATGCATCGATGGGGCTTCTGACCGGTACCGATTTCTGGCCTCTTTTAAGGTCTGATTCCAAAAATTATGATAAAAGCTGAACTCTGTATTATAGGTTTTTGATAAAGCTTGTACTTTTTAATGCAAAATTAGATACAACATAGTCTTTTTTTTTATTCATCAATGCATAGGTCTCAGACTTTTTATCAAATTTAAAGAAACTTTAACCCAAAAAACATGTCGATGTGCAAGTCGTCAATTCATTTATTTATTTATTTTTTTACATTTGTGATGTCATGTCACTATAATGTTATGACATTATGTCACTATAATGTCATGACATTACAAAGGTTCTTAGAGTTGGTGAAGTTAGTAAAGGGATAAAACAGATTTTAATTTTGAGTATTCGACTTGCTGATGGAAAATCGGCCGATTCTGACCTCCATCCAATTGATCTGTGCATCTTATAACACTTTGTCTAGTGGTAGTTTTCAGGTATTTACTGTGTAGATTAGTTAAAATCTGTTTAGAGACTTGTTAAGAATTTTACCTCAATGCGGGTGATGAATGGCTTTTATTGATCAGAAACGTTTCCAAACATCTTATAGAAGTGTGGAAGTAATTTAACCAGCTGACTCCATGCAACTTGAGACACCCTCCAGCAATTACTAGTCATTTTGAAATCAAAACATTTAAAACCCTCTAGATGCTAAAGCACAACCCGACTTCATTCAAACCTTGGTTGGAGCCCATATGACTGAGTTTGGTATGCAGGCTGCCATGTGATGTGCTGGGGTCTGGACTGCGCGTAATGGTGTGTGTGGAATGTCACAAAGGGAGCCTGTTGCTGCATTCCTGTGCTCTGCCAGGCTGCAGCTACAATTGTCTGCGTGTGTGATCCGAGCCAGCCGGGGCCTTGAATAGAGCAGGATTAGGCTTTCAGGAGGTCGGCTCGCCCCGCGGAATTCCCCTGGAGGAAGCTGGAGGTGTGTCCCGCCACATTCTGCAGAATCTTATCTGCTTCGCGAAGGTGGATGGGCAAACGTAGGGAGGGGTCCGTTACAGGGTTACTCTGAGGGGGGAAACAAAAAAAACAGAACTTTTTTTTTTTTCTTTTTTGGATTCTCACGAGAATAAGTTTTAGACTTGAGAATTAACTGTTTTTTTTTCCACTCGAGGAAACATTGTGGGAAACTTTTTCTCAAGCCATGCCTAGTTGAACATTGGCCAGCTTGTTTTAACAAGCTTAAAACTCTCCCCCCCCCCCATGTCTCTCTTTCCTGCCTCGTCCTCACTCTCAACACATGAATGAAGCGAGGGAATTCCTACTGAGGGGGCTGATTTAGAGGAGTGCTGGCTCAGAGTGTGTGTGTCTGTTCTCTGGAAGTGTGTGTGTCATGATGCTTGTCAGAGTTTCCAGGGGTTTTGCTTCGCTTTTATAGTAAACATTAACTGAATTACGGTGTCTGGAGAGAATGTGGTGGATTTTCTGCCTTCATTTGGTGTTGCTCTTTTTTGTCTGATCACATTCATGTTTCCCTTTTTGGGGCGGCGGTGGCGGGCGGTGGTAGGACACTCAGTTCGATTCCCGCTACATCTGCCAATTTCATTGTATTCTTGCTTGATAAACCTCTATGCAAATACTTAACATTTATTACATTCACTTTTCAGATAACGAAGACGGAAACGATGAGGATGAAGAGGAGATTGACGTGGTGACGGTGGACCACCAGCAGCAGCAGCAGCAGCAGCACCACCACCAGCAGCAGCAGCAGCACCACCAGCAGCAGCAGCACCACCACCACCACCAGCAGCAGCAGCAGCAGCACCACCACCACCAGCAGCAGCAGCACCACCACCAGCAGCAGCAGCACCACCACCACCACCAGCAGCAGCAGCAGCGTAAACCCCGTCGACTCGTCGCCAGCCGCAAACCGGTGACCATAACGGTGCGAGCAGACCTCCACGACCCCAGCACCAAGCGTTTCCACATCTCCATCCATCAGCAGCAACACAACTACGCCGCGCCCTCCCCGGACACTCTCCCCGCGGCTCCCGAGCCCGCCCGGAAGAAGGTCCGACAGAAAGTCTCCTCTGCTGCGACCCAGCCTCCCCAGAATTCTCTCCACAACCATCCCCGGCTCGTCTACGCGCCTCTGAACCCCGACAGCAGAAAGTCTCACCTCGCCGTGGCGAGATCAGAGTCCCCCAACCTCAGCGCGGCCTCTCCTACCTCATTCTCGTCGCCTTCGTCTCCATCCAGCTCCTCCTCATCATCCCACAGGAGCTCGCGGTCCAAGCCCGCTTCCCGCCAGTCGAGCCCCCTGTCCTCTGACTGCGAGGACACGGACAAGCGCAGGGCGCACAACTTCCTGGAGCGCAAACGGCGCAATGACCTCCGCTCCCGCTTCCTCTTGCTACGGGACGAGATCCCGGAGTTGGCGGACTGTGCCAAGACCCCCAAGGTGGCCATCTTGACCCGAGCTACGGAGTACCTGCAGCAGCTCCAGGCCACCGAGAGACAGAAGTCTCAGGAGAGGAAGCAGCTGAAGGCCAGGCAGCTGCAGCTGCTGCAGCGGTTGGCGCAGTTCAAACGCTCCTGAAGGCCCGAATCGACCGTCGGTCGCCTCCACATGGACACTTGAACTGATGGAGAACGACATTAAGTGGGGAAAACACTGTTCACTAATCGTGCTGGATTAGAGGAGGTGGATTTGTTTTTTATTTTTTGCTGTTTTTTTCTTAATTTTTTTCCATTTTTAATTTTTTGTGGTTTGCACATCAGCTCCTGAGTGACAGAGCTACCTGGACAGCCGTTTTCTGGCTGGTTTCCTTTTTAGTATCCTGACGTCTCAAGGGATTTCTGTTGGATCTTGCAAGGTGGAATTTGTAAAAACACTCTTCACTAATCATGCTGGATTAGAGGAGTTTTTTTTTTTGCTGTCTTTTTAAAAAACTTTTAAATTTTTTTTTTTTTGTTGTGTGGTTTGCACATTAGCTTCTGAATGTCAGAGCTACCTGGACGGCCGATTCCCGGCTGGTTTCCGTTTTAGTATCCTGGGGTCTCAAGGGATTTCTGTTGGATCTTGCAAGGGGGAATTTACTCAATATTTCTTAAATGTAACCCCCAACAAGAACTATTAAAACTTGTCTTACAATAAAGTTGGCATTGTCAATTGCTTTGGTCAAAGCCCCTGTTCTTTAGTACCTGGTCAAGAATGTCAAAATTCATAATTTTGCCAATACATCTTAGTTTTTCAGGCTTCCCTAATAACTAACCTGCCGCCTTTCCCCCCACCCCATATTCTCCCCTCTTCTCATTTTCCTTAGCAGCAGTTGGTCAGTCCTCGTTCGAAACTGGCTTGAAATGGTGAAGTCTGAGCGACTTGCCCTGCACCCAACACTCCCTCCTCCATTCATTTCCCTAATACCATTTACTGCTGCATGTTACAACAAAATCAGTTGCAGTTACAGCCTTTTTTTTCCTAGCAATTTCAGAATGTCTGAAATGTTCAATACAGGTCATCTAAATAATACTAAAAAAACATTAAAATATTTACTGAGATTTATTGTTGTGCCATGAAGTTCAGCCGAAAGGTGAATGTCAGCCTAGGTTAAAATATTGGCTTAAATCTGTTTTGGTTTTTTTTTTAAATACCATCTTCTAATTGAAGTCAAGAGTTCCAGCTGTATTTATTTCATCTTGCTGTCTGATTTATCTTTTTTTTTTTTTATCTATTTGGTGGAATGCCTTTAGGAGCCTTTCTATGTATGTAAGCTATCCAGTTGGATGTTCTGTTTATAGATCCTTGACTGTACAGTGAAACCAAAACCTGAGCTAAGTTTACTCATCCCAGTTTCTGTAGGGCTTGCTGGCTTTTTCAAAGATGACTCAAAGCTTCTATTTTTGTTAATAAAATTCTAAAGGAGGAAGAAAACCCGTCGAAATAAAACACCACTTTGTCACTATGTTTTGTTTTTTCTTTTCATTGCTGAGCTTAATAGTTGGATGATGTTTCCTTGTATAAGTCAAACAAGGTAAGTTTTCTATTCTATTTTCCTACAAGTTTGTGTTTTGGCAAGCACTGATTAATATTACTCGCCAATTGACCTCACGCCCTTTTGGTCATCTGACGAAATGCACTTCGTCCAATCGCCTGCAAGCCAAACGTACTCTGACTGAGTTCCATTTGACGAACCTTCAAACAAGACAAAATGGCTTCAGGTCGAACAAACTCTGTCTAAGGGACTGCAAAGGAAAATGTCTGAGAAGCAGCGCTCCACTTTAGCAAATGTTGCATTAATTTGGGTGATCTTGTGTTTGGAGGAATCAAAATCTATACTTAATGATCTTTTTCTAGAAAAACACTGAAAAACATGAACTAATTTTCGCCATGCAGGCGAAAATGTTCTCCACAAGGTAGGTGCGGAGAAAGCTGTGACTTTAGGGTTTCCGATCATGTTTTCCCTCGGTTCTACATTGACAGATAAAAGGAAAAAAGAAACTTCCCCCAGTGGAATAACTCAGGATTGGGCGTAAGGCCTGAGAGTGACTGGGTCCTCAGAAAGGCTCCAGCATGAAGATGTTGTTCTTTCAGGCATTTAGTGGGACCTTTACTGGCCGGCGTCCTGAGACCCAATCTGACATCCAGCATTTTCCCAAGACCTGGGGACACCACACTGCTGACTACACAGAGACTGTTGCTGTTTTCCATGTAATGCCCGGCTTTACTGTCATTCTGGAGATTGTTTGGTTTGGCCTGGTCGCAGTCATAGAAACTCGGGGCATTGCTTAGTTGCAATAAAGACTCTACTTTGATTTGGAAAAAAAAAAAATCTACATTTTTTGTTTTGTCCCAGTATCTCATGAGCCTGCATGATAAATAAAAATAAAGCAATGTTTTCACATGGAGTTCCATGACCAGGCTGATTGTCTGGTTTCCATGTTGGATTTTTAAGGTTGCGTTCTGAGCTGGAATAGGGGGATATTTCCCTCATTGGGGGTGTAATGGTTGAGAATGCGAAAGCAACATTCTTTGTAGTTTAAATTAGCAGAAAAAAAAGCAAAAGAATGAAAACAAGAAAGCAAGAGAAAAGTTAAGAATTGCACAGTTACAAACCAATCAGGGAGCACAGTCCTTTGTGTGTTGTCACTGTCTTTGCATGTGATGAAATCAGGCATTTGATAAAAAATCAATATAAATCAATACCGAAAGAAAAAAAACAAGTGTTTGAATTCGTGTGTCTGACATACATCCAGTGACGGGCTACTATTTCCACTTTTGTTTTGCAGCAGTCTCCAGGGCAACCTCCAAGCATCTTTTGTCATGGCGACAAGCGTCAGACCTCGTCACTGCAGCAGCAGCAGCATCGATAGTTTCCATAGAAACCACGGCAAATGCGCCCCGTAAAGCGTCGTAAACAAACACGTGACCACAACTCTTTTTTTTTTTTGAATAGATCTTTATTGAGAAACAGAAGACAAAACAATACAAATACAATAATGACTTCCAACAGGGGTCATATACATAAGACAGTACATCCCCGTAATATTACATGAACATTTTTTTTTTAAACAAGGTAATCACAAACAAATAAGGCAATTACATTAGTGCAATTCTGTATAAGGCATATCTAGTAGAGGCATATTTAAAGTGGAAATATAAAGAAACATTGACAATAAGAGATTAGTATTTCAATTAGTATAGTGTAACAGTAACTAACAAAGGCAGCAAGGAACACGTGACCACAACTCGCCCGCCTCGAGGCGGTTGAAGGTCCTGTTACCGCAAACTAGAAAAAAAAAACGTACAAATGTCACAAATCAAACCGTTTAACCGACTGAAACGTCAAACATGACGACACCGAATAATCAAATGTGAAACAGCCGCGAATGACTGCCGAGTCACCGGCGTCGCCATAGCAACGGCGGCCCAGCTGCCTCAACCACCATGCGGCTTCTGCGCACGCGCGAGGACTGTCAGCTGGAGCAGCGGGGAGGAGGGGGCGGCAACATGGCGGCCTCCACTCGGAGCGTGCAGCTCGCCTTCCGCAGAGCGACGGTCCCGTCGTTAGTCGTGATCCTGGGAGCTACCGGTACCGGGAAGTCCAAGCTGGCAATCGAGATCGGAAAGCGGCTCGGTGGGGAAATAATCAGCGCCGACTCCATGCAGGTGAGAGGACTCGCTTTGTGCTGACGGTGACCCGCAGCCGCGGCCGTCAGCCGCGTTCCGGCAGCCGGAGCTCATCCCGACGACGTTTCGTCAGGAGATAAACGGACCGCGGTTAAAACTGCCACGGGTCAGATTGTCTTCTGTCTGCGGCGGCGATCAGATCAAGGACCGAAACGACAAACCCCGTTGAAAACATGTCCTCTGTGACGCAGGATCGAGCAGCAGCTGGAAACGTGCGACCCTAGTTTAAATAGACGAGCAGTGGCGTCACATACAGCGTCTCGCAAAAGTATTCATACCACTTACACAGAAGTCAGAGCGTGCATATTGCACAAAACAACACAGATCTCGCTGTACATGTAAACAGAAAGCCCTAAAATGAACACCTCCATCACTTTACATGACAGGACTGAGATGTGATAATGTGAGGTCAGTTTTTTGTTGTTTATGTTCCTCCTCTCCCCCATTTCTGACAGTCTGCGCTATGACCTCACATGTCCTCCACTTCCCCCTAGAAGTGTTGATCCTTATGCTGATCATTAAAAACACTTTCACCAAGAAGATCATATTGCAAGTCAAAAATATAAAGACTCTCACTAGGCAGAAAGTAATTTTTGAAAATGACAGGTCAGAGTTCAAATTACCAACGTTTCCATTTACAGGTAACAACACATTGATATCAGAACTGAGCGGATATTAATAACATTTATTTCCACGTTGTTGTTGTTTGGGTTTTGGAACGGTGTTGGGAATGCTCATCGATTTTTACATTTTTTTTTCAGTTTCGAAAGGGAAGGAAAAACATGTTATCAGTAAATATCAATTATTGGGCATAACAGCGATATTAACTTTGGATATTGTTATTGGGACAATTTTTTATTTTTTTTATTATTATTGCTGCGTCTTGCTACTGATCTTGGACTTTTTTAGCGAAAATGGTTAAACGCATAACAACACGCACCAGTTTGAATCGCGTAAGGTTGGACTGACTTGTGTTGAATGTTAGCAGAATAGAAATTAGAATCGACGGTTACATTTTGAATCGAATTGAATCATTCACAATTTGACATCTTCTGTCGGAAAATCTTGAGCTTCGGTGATTCACGAGTCTCTGGGTGAGAAACGGTCTTCAGTCTTCAAATGATTTGGAAATCCAGAATCATTACCGTCTCTGGAAAAATGAGCAGAAAGAAAGCTATCGTGAAGGAAGACTGATGGAAACGTGGTGATGGCAGCATCATGCTGTGGGGAGAAAGAAGCGGGTCAGAGTTCGCAGGTAAAAGATTTGAGGTCAAGGTTCACCTTCCAACAACCCGACATTGTTCTGGTGGAAGTCCAGAGCTGCAGTGTCAGCATCCAATCAAATCAGTAAATGCTTCGACGTCAACTCCACTATAAACTCAAGACACGTGGAGCGTGAAAATGTAAATAATTTGTGTGGCCCAGTCAAAGGCCAGAGATCAGTTGATTTGGAAAAGTAATTTATGCCTATCTGAAATCACTGTGCATGTTGAAATGTTGCATGTTAGCCCTGACAATAAGCAGGCAAATGGATACACTGTGTGAACTTATTTTGTCTTTTTGTGATTCTCATGGACTCTGTCTTTTTCCAGGTGGTTCCTTAAATTTCCAAACCCAAACCAACTTTTTAGGGAAAAACATGTTTAATTAGGTAGCAGTGAAACAGGAATGTGTGGGAAAATAAATGAAGCCAAAAGTATGTCATCACTTCTGATGGGCATAAACTCTTATTCGCTCCTCTGAGCTGTTTTTTTTTGGGGGGGGGGTTCTCATACTCTGTTGCTGCAGCGACCCGAGGTGCATGCACACGAAAGAAAAGGTTGGAGCAAAGGCCTGAGATTGGGTCCCATCTGAAGCCACTCTGGTTCTTCACACCTGTGACTGTCCAGAGGTTGTTTCTCCCGAGTGCAGCGTTCAACTAATCACATCTTCCATCCCTGCTCCTCTTACCTCAGCAACAACACACCTCCCCTCGCCTCAACTCTGCATGCATTGTCCTTGAAAGCCCGTGTCCCTGTGGGGCGTACCTCCTCCTGCAGTCACCTGGTGATGGGCAAACTGGGTTACACTAATAACATCTCAGCCGAGAATATCTCTCCACGTTCGGTGGAGAAACAGTGGCCTAGTTACGGCGAGGCGGCCACAGTCTTCACAATCCGCGGCCTTGTCGCGCTCCTCCTCTTGTTGGTGTGAGTGTCGGTGTCAGAAAGCGGGAGAGACGCGCCGACACGGAGAGGCGGCCTATGTGAGAATGGCGCTGTGTGTAGGTTCGAGCCGGACCGTGTTGTCTTTGGGATAGGAAACAGTCTGGTCTTGTTTGGGAGAAAGCAACATTATGCTGAGCTGGTGCACATTCAGCGCCGCGCTGCGCCGGCCCAGCAACTGGTAGTGAATGGATACACTGTGGCCACTGGGAAGTGCCTATTGTCCCATGGAGAATTGGTTCCCACACTCCCTAACACTCCTATTGTATTACCGTCACCCCCCTCACACCCCATGTCCCCAACCCACAGTTCATTGGACATGCAGGAGGGATATTATTCACTCATTAAATGAACATGCTATCTCTGGCGCACACACTAGTGTCCTGTTTATACTGTTCTTGAACGAGGCACTGCCAAGTAGCGTGAGTCTGAGGTTCCCAAACTGGGATCCAATGATCAGTAGGGGTCCTTTGACTAAGACTTTGGATTAGGAATAACTGATTTCAACTTATTGTCTAGGTAAAGGAAAAACACACTGTGCATTGCTGAAAATATGTCCCTGCTATTTTCTTTTATGTCAAATTGCAGTGGCAACATGTGGTTGGCGGTTCTAACACAACATCACTCCCGAGTTATTGATTTCCTACAGGACTTTCATGATGAGGCAACAATCATTTACCGTCCTCCAACCAAGCGACCAGCGAAAGTTGTGTAAAAATTTGAGCTTGAAGACGTGGATGCGTGAGCCACTGACACAACACAAAACTTCTGTCAGTGTCATCGTTGTCATGTTATCACAGTTACTGAGGTAATGTAACACTTTTAAACCTTCTTGTGTCGCGTCACGAGACACCGCGTGTACATCCACGCGTACAAGCTCCAAATTTCACTGGAAAAATGACAAGCAATCATCGCCTCATTGTGGAAATTATGTAGGAAATGAGTGAAGAGGGAGTGAAGTTGCGTCCCGTGTGTCCAGTCCTGTTTGCTGGAATACCCTTCTAATTTATCCCTTTCAGAACTTAAATGCTTCCAGTGAAATATATGACGAATAGAGACCTTCAAGGAGCAAAATTGGTGGCTTTTTCTTGTCATCATTTGCAGAAAGGCGGGGTATACCATGGATGTCTCGGTAGTTCATCCCAGGGTTCATCTCAGTTCATCCAGGGACACACTTTATGATTCACACATCATCTCACTTCTAAGTTAATTTCTAGAGCCCAGTTAATTTGATATTCCTATTTTTGGACTATGAAAGAAAACCAAAGGAAGGTAGCGCATTTGCTGTGTGGAAAAGTCTCCATCCAATATAAAGAAGTGTGTTTGTGTGCACTATTTAATTGCTGAAATCAGGTTCATGAGAGCTCGTGTCCTGAGCCGAGACACTGATGTGTCACAGCATCGCTTGCAGACAGCACTTCACAAGGTGTTGTTTGCAACGAGAAGCGGTTGACATGAAGGGTGACGGCGAAGAAGGAAGGCTGAGCGACTCATGTGAGCAGCGCAGAGTGAAATATTTCATCCGTGCAGTTTGAAGCGCTCGTAATCATTTTACGAGCTGCAGGTTCTGCCGCAGTGAAATCCGTCAGCTGCTCCCTCGTTTCCCATAAGTCAGTGATGATGTTTTTAGTCGTTATGGCGCATCATCACATCATCCAGTCTCACATCGTTCCGTGCATGTGCGACTTAAGACCAACAAGGAGCAGTTTTACTCCCCTATGCATTCCAGGAGATCTTTAAGAGATTTAAACTGCTTGTAATATCCAGCACAGAAACGTGCATGCTCCAAATTTAGTCTTAGTGTATTTTTCTTTGGATGTCAAACAAATTGTACGGATGTACTTCTCGAAGCCGTCTTTCCAGTCGGCCTGAGGAAAGGTGAGCAAAATTTAGAAAGTTTGCTCTTGCTCGTACAGCAATTTTCCGCTTCTTCGTTTGTCATTGGCGTGCTGCACCGTCCAAATTCTTGCTTCCATTTCCTTCCTGTTTACAAATGGTCCACCAGTTTCCTCGAGGACGGAGGAATTCATGGTGGATTCTCTGTTGGAGAAGTTTCAGGTCCTCCTTCAGCAAAGTATTCCCAGGGCATTAGATTTCCAACTCCATGCGTCACAGTTGGTAGGAGGTTCTTTTCCTGGATGGCTCTATTTGGTCCTCTGTTCTGCTGTCCGAATAATTCAATGTCAAACTAAATCTGCCACAAGTGGTATCCATCAAGTCTGTCCTTCATGTTTTTGTCAGAGAGGGAAGCGCTAAGGACGTCATATTGATTCCACTAGGTTCTTCGAATGGTGATTAAAATTTAATGGAAAACAGTTTCTTCCCTGGCAGTCTGAAATTACTAATACAGAGGTACTTTAATACTTTTCCCTCTCTACAACAATGTTTAGGAGTGAGAGAAGCCTGTATAAGTTTGGCGTTTCTCAGCATGAAGCCATAGAAACCCTCTGCAAGTAAGCAATTATTAAAAAGGCTGTATTTGTTTAAAAAAAAAAAGAAAGAACAACACACAAAAAAAAAAAAAAAAAAAAACAGTGTGGGTTAGAGTGGTGGAAACAACGTTTTCAAATTGTATCCAGTCCGGATAAGGTGGGACTCGGCGTTCTGAGCTGGAACCCAATAAACTAGAGGGACAGACCGAATGTCTCCAGAGATGAAAGCGATTTTTTTAGAAGATCTCCGCTGCAGCAGTGAGGGAATTTTTATTCCTCCTCTAGCTTTGTTTCCCTTTAATGTGTTACAACCGCGACCAGTGGAGCTTTTACCACCTCCTTG